TGTCTTTTCCCTCAGCGTCTCTTCTTTTTGCTCCCTCTTCTTTTCCTTCGGCTCCCTCGTTATTTCCTTCTGCTTCCGTCCACTCCTTGTCTTTTCCTTCAGCTTCTTCTTCTATTCCTTCAGCTTCTCTATTTTTTCTTTGGCTCCTTGTCTTTTCCTTCGGCTCCTCATCTTTTCCTTCTGCTTCCTTCCACTCCTCATCTTTTCCTTCAGCTTCTCTTCTTTTTTTCTGCTCCTCTTCTTTTCCTTTGGCTCCTCGCTTTTCCTTTGGCTCCTCGCCTTTTCCTTCTGCTTCCTTCCACTCCTCGTCTTTGCTTTCAGCTCCTCTTCTTTTCTTTCTGCTCCTTGTCTTTTCCTTCTGCTTCCTTCCACTCCTTGTCTTTTCCTTCTGCTTCCTTCCACTCCTTGTCTTTTCCCTCAGCGTCTCTTCTTTTTGCTCCTCTTCTTTTCCTTCTGCTCCTCATCTTTTCCTTCTGCTTCTTTCCGCTCCTTGTCTTTTCCTTCAGCTTCTCTTCTTTTTGCTCCTCTTCTTTTCCTTCTGCTCCTTGTCTTTTCCTTTGGCTCCTCGTCTTTTCCTTTAGCTCCTCGTGCTTCTCTTCTTTTCTTTCTGCATCTCTTCTATTCCTTCGGCTCTATTTCCTTCTGCTTCCTTCCACTCCTCGTCTTTTCCTTCAGCTTCTTTTCTTTTCCTTTTCCTTCAGTTCCTCTTCTTTTCTTTCTGCTCCTCGTCTTTTCCTTCTGATCCTCCTCTTTCTTCTGCTTCCTTCCACTCCTCTTCTTTTCCTTCGGCTCCTCATGATTTTGCCCTGTTCCTCTACCTCATGTCCCAGCCTCCCCTCTTTCCTTGCTCCTTCTCTCACCTTCTTCTTCACCTTTCTCTGACACAGAGACATTTATTTCTTCAGAACAAGAACGACCAACTGAGCCGGGAGGGAGGTCAGGCCAAGTCTTTTCCACCAAAAACATCGCTCTACAGAGAACAGCCATCTGCATGGATGAAACTGGGAGACTAAAAGCCTCCATTTGCCCCCTTAGAAAAAATACATTTCTGAAGCTCGAAAGCTGATTTCCAAGAATTGTGAATAAAATAAATTGTACGTTTTATATTAAAAAAATGACAATGGCTATAATAGTGTATATTTTTTAAGTGCAACAAATAAAAATTTCCATAAACCAGCTCTTGTAGAATCTCCACGCCGAGCTCCTGGCTCTGCACACATGATGTGGCCAAGAAATATTTAAAAAAAAAAAAGATTCAACCCACCTGACTCCGCCTATAACTGAAATATCACTTTTGCATTCTACGTGTACACGGTATATAAAAATGAACATCATAAAAAAAGAAGTAAAAAAAGTTTTTTAAAAAAGGGCATTTTGCCCTCAATAAAGATGGCGCAGTCTAACGTCACAACAGAGCATCCGTGACTTGGGTCTTCAGGTCTGGAGCCATTTTCTTGTAGAGCAATGTGAAACCCTATCTTTATGGTCTACAACAACATGGCTGCTGGATGGCTCGTTGGTTGTGATTTCCTTCGCCCTCTATTGGTCATTGGCGAAAGACTACATTTCCCTTCCACCTCTGCGTTCTCCTGTCCATTGTGGTGTCATAAGCAGCAGACAGGCATGTAGAAGAGGAAGGTATGTTGTATCAATACAATGGAGGATTTATATTCCTATCCACGTCCATGGAAGATGAGAATCATTTGGGGGAGGGGGTCCAGGCAGGGCAGGCTGTTATTCTGGGTCCTTGTGTTAATTTTGGGTGCTCCTCCTTTAAATTGGCGACTCCACCTGCTTGTTAAGGTTGGAGAGGGGCCTGATATGTCCTTCTCGAGGTTTATGTGGAGACCCCTAGTGGCTTAGAGCTGACCTCTCAGGTACAATCTGATTGTACAGTCTCCTTTAAGATGACCATACACGTTACAATACAATTTTCTTCAACTTTACTGAAACTGTACAATACTTTCAGTTCACATTCAATCAGACAGGCCCTTGTGCCATAGAGCTGTTGGTAGCTTTAAGACTGACCATACACAATACAATCTGATTGTACAATGCCCTTTAAATTTGCCATCAACTGCGTAGGCTGGTGGTCTCCAAACTGTGGCCCGGAGGGGTTAAATGCAGCCCTTTGCTTACTTTTATCTGGCCCTTGGAGCACTATTGCATCCACTGACACCAACAATGGGGCATAATTCTCCCTAAGTGACACCAATAAAGAGGTGCATTTCCTCCCAATGATACCAATGATACGGCACAGTTCCTCTCATTAGCACCAAAAATGACGGGGCACAATACCTCCCAATGACTCCAATGATGTGGCACATATCATCCTAATGACACCAATGATGGGGCACAATTACCCAATGACTCCAACGATGGGGCACAGTTCCTCCCAATGACACCAATGATGGGGCACGATTCCCCAATCACACAATGATGGGGCACAGTTCCTGTCATTAGCACCAAAAATGATGGGGCATTATTCCTCCCAATGACTCCAATGATGGGGCACTATTCCTTCCACTGACACCAATGATGGGGCACTATTCCTTCCATTGACACCAAAGATGGGGCACTATTCTTTCCACTGACACCAATGATGGGGCACTATTCCTCCCAATGACTTCAATGATGGGGCATGATTCCTCCCAATGACTCCAATGATGGGGCACTATTCCTCCCACTGACACCAATGATGGGGCACAGTTCCTCCCAATGACACCAATGATGGGGCACAGTTCCTCTCATTAGAACCAAAAATGATAGGGCACAATTCCTCTCAATGACTCCAACGATGGGGCACAGTTCTTCCCAATGACATCAATGATGGGACACGATTCCTCTCAATTACTCCAACGGTGGGGCACAGTTACGCCAATGACACCAATAATTGGGCCCAATAAAACCAACGATGGGGTACTCTGCTTTGTATTTCTCTGCTACGCAGAGCCATGCAAAGCAGCATGCTGGGCCTGACAGAGGAGTGACCTGTGTTGTTTACAGAGACCTCTCCCCTGTCAGTGTTCCTCGGCAATTGTTGGGTGCCGGCAGGGAATCTCCGGCTGGGACCCGGTGATTGACAGCTGTAGCCGCCCTACCTGGAAATGCAAAATCACGTATATTTACATGATTTTGCGCAGTCCTGCCACCCTGTAGAAGTAGTTCTCCTATAGGGCGGTAGGGAAGCGGTTAAAGTGTTACTAAATCCACAGCAGTACAATCAGTCTGTAGATGCAGGGGGCCTGGGAGACCAGATATAGTGAATGCAGGGTCCAGGGAGAGCGGATATAGTGAATGCAGGGTCCGAGGAGACCAGATATAGTGAATGCAGGGTCCGGGGAGACCAGATATAGTGATTGCGGGGTCCGGGGAGGCCAGATATAATGAATGCAGGGTCCGGGGAGAGCGGATATAGTGAATGCAGGGTCCGTGGAGACCAGATATAGTGAATGCAGTGTCCGAGGAGACCAGATATAGTGAATGCAGGGTCCGGGGAGACCAGATTTAGTGAATGCTGAATGGGGTCCGGGGAGACCAGATATAGAGAATGCAGGGTCCTGGGAGACCGGATATAGTGAATGCAGGGTCCGGGGAGACCAGATATAGTGAATGCGGGGTCCGGGGAGACCAGATATAGTGAATGCGGGGTCCGGGGAGACCAGATATAGTGAGTGCAGGGTCCGGAGAGAGCGGATATAGTGAATGCGGGGTCCGGGGAGACCTGATATAGTGAATGCAGGGTCCGGGGAGACCAGATATAGTAAAAGCGGGGTTCGGGGAGAGCGGATATAGTGAATACAGGGTCCAGGGAGACCAGATAGAGTGAATGCAGGGTCCGGGGAGAGCGGATATAGTAAATGCAGGGTCCGGGGAAAGCGGTTATAGTGAATGCAGGGTCCGGGGAGAGCAGATATAGTGAATACAGGGTCCGGGGAGAGCGGATAGAGTGAATGCAGGGTCCGGGAAGAGCAGATATACTGAATGCAGGGTCCGGGGAGAGCGGATATAGTAAATGCGGGGTCCGGGGAGAGCGGATATAGTGAATGCGGGGTCTGGGGAGACCGGATATAGTGAATGCGGGGTCCGGGGAGAGTGGATATAGTGAATGCGGGTCCTGGGAGAGCGGATATAGTGAATGCGGGGTCCTGAGTAGTACGTAAAACCCCTAAACATTATACATTTTCTGAAAGCAGATCTCCTGGACAATAAAATAGTGGTCACATGATATTTGTGCACCCATAGATGTGCGCAGTCTATGGCATTAGGGTGTGCACACCAAAGCCCAAACATACACATAAACAGCGCCTTGAAAAGTATTCATACCCCTTAACATGTTCCCCGTGTTGTCATGTGACGTCAATGTATTTATCGGGATTAGATGTTATAGACCGACATAAAGTGACCCATAATTGTGAAATGGAAGGAAAATGAGAAATGGTTTTCAACTTTTTTTACAAATAAATATCTGAAAAGTGTGGCGTGCATTTGAATTTAGCCCCCTTTACTCTGATCCCCCTAACTAAAATCTAGTGGAACCAATTGCCTTCAGAAGTCACCTAATTGGTAGATAGAGCCCCCCCTGTCTGTCATGTGATCTCAGTATAAATCAAGCTGCTCTGTGCAGCCCTCAGAGGTTTGTTAGAGAACATTAGTGAGCAAACAGCATCATGAAGTCCAAGGAACACACCATACGGGTCAGGGATAAAGTTGTGGAGAACTTGCCCTTTGGCCTGGGAATTTTCTATTACAAAAAAAATATATACAGATTTTTACATGTAGGAGAAAAGTGTCAGCATAGGTTTGTTTTTCAGGTGGCTAAAAGCCTGTTTGTATGATGGGTGAATGATGTAAATGACAATCCAATGTGTGTGTTCTCGATATTTGTTTTATGAGCAGAATCTTCACGTTCACCTACCGGTGCTTCTAGGATCTTCAGGATGGAAAAGGACAAGATGGACATGACTAGAAGGTTCTTCAGTCTCACCCTGGAGATCATCTACCTGCTGACCGGAGAGGTGAGGAGGATTCTTGGAGGTCACATGACATCACTCATCTCTATTAATAAAACACAGACCTGACGGAGAGGTGAGGAGGATTCTGGGAGGTCACATGACATCACTCTCATCTCTATTAATAAAACACAGACCTGACCGAAGAGGTGAGGAGGATTCTGGGAGGTCACATGACATCACTCTCATCTCCATTAATAAAACACAGACCTGACTGGAGAGGTGAGGAGGATTCTTGAAGGTCACATGACATCACTCATCTCTATTAATAAAACACAGACCTGACCGGAGAGGTGAGGAGGATTCTGGGAGGTCACATGACATCACTCTCATCTCCATTAATAAAACACAGACCTGACCGGAGAGGTGAGGAGGATTCTGGGAGGTCACATGACATCACTCTCATCTCCATTAATAAAACACAGACCTGACCGGAGAGGTGAGGAGGATTCTGGGAGGTCACATGACATCACTCTCATCTCTATTAATAAAACACAGACCTAACCGAAGAGGTGAGGAGTATTCTGGGAGGTCACATGACATCACTCTCATCTCCATTAATAAAACACAGACCTGACTGGAGAGGTGAGGAGGATTCTTGAAGGTCACATGACATCACTCATCTCTATTAATAAAACACAGACCTGACCAGAGAGGTGAGGAGGATTCTGGGAGGTCATATGACATCACTCCATCTCCATTAATAATAAAACACAGACCTGACCGGAGAGGTGAGGAGGAATCTGGGAGGTCACATGACATCACTCCCATCTCCATTAATAAAACACAGACCTGAACGGAGAGGTGAGGAGGAATCTGGGAGGTCACATGACATCACTCTCATCTCTATTAATAAAATACAGACCAGACCGGAGAGGTGAGGAGGATTCTTGAAGGTCACATGACATCACTCATCTCTATTAATAAAACACAGACCTGACCAGAGAGGTGAGGAGGATTCTGGGAGGTCAAATGACATCACTCTCATCTCTATTAATAGAACACAGACCTGACCGGAGAGGTGAGGAGGATTCTGGGAGGTCACATGACATCATTCTCATCTCTATTAAAAAAACACAGACACAGACCTGACCGGAGAGGTGAGGAGCATTCTGGGAGGTCACATGTTTGTTTTCATGCAGGATTTCATGGTGGTGAGGGAATCCGGTGAGCTGATCTCGCGGAGGGTGAATTGTATCGGATCCGGTCGCTCCAAGGACAGTCGGGGTGCAACTGTCGCCCTGAAACCTCTCACAGTTCCAAGCAAAGGAAAGGGTGACGAGAGCATCCTGAAACTGACCAGCAAAATCATTCATCTGCTGACAGGAGAGGTGAGCGGTGTCGGGAATTCTGGGCCATTTTCCAGGACCAGACGAGGGATGTGTCTGGATGGTGACTGTGTCCAGGGCCACCATTAAAGGGGGACCACCGCCATATATTTCCAATATATTTAGAAAAAAAAATATTATACACACGACATATATTTACAATATATTGGCTTACACAAATATATTTTAACGTGTATTCCAAAAATGTAATTTAAAATATATTTTCCAGATATTTCTGAACATCTAAAAAAATTGCATTTAAACATAGATTTTTTAAATATACTTGTGAATGCATTCCAAATTTACACTTTTAATATATTTCAGCAGGCATTCTAAATATATTTTTAATAATATATTCACAAATATATTTTTGAACTATATTGAATATGGCCAAAATTGTAGTATTTGAAATATACAGTATGTCAATATGTTGGGGAAGAATATATTAAGAATGTATTTTTAAAATATATTTAAAATATATTTTTTTTCCATGTGGGGAGGCTGCAGACAAAGGAATGGGGGTCTAAGTTCTGCGTCAAAAGAAGAAATCAGGGGGTCGGTATGGGGCCCTGTGATTTCTAACAGCAGCCCCGACTGTATCATTGCGTGTGTCAGGTTCGTATAAGCCCACATGGAAGAAAAATATGTTTGAAATGTATTTTAAAAATATTCTTTCCAAATATATTGTCATATATATATTTGGCCATAAATAAATATTCAATATATTTAGAAAAAAAAAAAAATATATATATATATATATAAAAAATTATATATATATAGATATATACACAGATATATACACACATATGTATATATACACACACACATATATATACATACACATATACACTGCATGTTGAAATGCATTTTTTATTACAAAATATATGAACAATATTTTTAAAAATACATTTCAAATGTACTGTATGTCTTTAAAAATACAAATCTACATTTTTGGAATACATTTACAAATATATGTAAAAATATATGTTAAAATGGCTTTTTTATATGTTAAAATATTTAAATATTTTAAATATATTCTTCAGATATGTATTGAAATATATTGAATATGGCCAATATTGTAGCATTTCAAATATATGGCAATATATTTGGGAAGGATATTTTTTTTTTAATCTGAAGAATATATTTTTTTTAAAAATATATTTTTAAAAATATATTTTTTGTAAATATATTCTTCCGATTTTTTTTAACATATAAAAAAAGTAATTTTAACATATATTTTTACATATATTTGTAAATGCAATTAAAAAATGTAGATTTTTATTTTTAAAGACAAACAGCATATTTGAAATGTATTTATAAAAATATTTTTTTCATATATTTTATAATAAAAACGCATTTCAACATACAGTGTGTATATATATATATATATATATATATATACACACACACACACATATATACATATATATATATATATATATATATATATATATTTTATTTTATTATATTTTGAAATATATTGAATATAGCCAATATTGTAGCATTTCAAATATTTGGGAAGGATATTTTTTTTTTAAATCTGAAGAATATATATATTTTTTTAAAATACATTTTTAAAAATATATATTATTTTAATATATTCTTCAGATTTTATGTTAACATATAAAAAAGTAATTTTAACATATTTTTACATATATTTGTAAATGCACTTCAAAAATGTAGAATTGTATTTTTAAAAGACATACAGTACATTTGAAATGTATTTTTAAAAATATTTTTCATATATTTTGTAATAAAAAAACATTTCAACATCCAGTATATATATATATATATATATATATATATATAAACTTTAAATATATTTTGAAATATATTAATATGGCCGAAATTGTAGTATTTCAAATATATGGCAATATATTTGGGAAGAATATTTTTAAAATACATTTCAGATATATTTTTCTTCCATATGGGAGGTGTCAGGATGTCTATTTCTCCACACAGGTTCGGCGGTTTGTAAGACGTGAAGATGGAAGCATTGCTGAGAATTCTCAACCTGCCCCATCTCTAGGATTCGGTATTTCTATAATTTATTACTTTTCACGTTTTCTAGTCAGGAAAATTCCTATTAATGTCATCACTGGGTCTCTGTGCTTCTATATGCAATGCAGGCAGATCGTGGCTGGTGGGAGGGGCCAGTAGGGTGCTGTATATAGCACTCTGCATCAGAACTACTCAGCCCTGATGCAAACAGTGGACTGGCTCCTGGGAGGAGTTATGCCAATGTCAAAAGGACCTCATAGGCGGATGTCAGTCTGGAGGAGCGGGCGTTTCTAGGCAGGCTGTATTTGCATGCAGACCACCCTAGGTAACACCCACATGCGATGCTGAGCCCCTATCACTCACAGAACTAAAAATCCAATGAATGAAAGGGGCGGGCCAGGGGTTGACTGGCTGGGGAGGAAAGTGCTAGATGTTGCTGGGTGCTCTCCAGCCAGGACTTGCTGCATCTTCTAATGCGCATTGTGAGAAGCTCACAGAGTGCAGAGTTTTTTTTTAGCAAAGACACGGAGCAGGATACATTTTGGCCGAAATTTATGACGAAATTTGATTTTTAAATTTTTTTTTACTGGGCGTGTTTAATAGCAAAAATTAAAAAATATATTTTTTTTTTTTCGAAACTGTCGGTCTTTTTTTGCTTTTAGCATAAAAAAATAAAAAAAACACAGAGGGGATCAAATACCACCAAAAAAACCCCTATTGGTAGGAAAAAAAGGACATAAATTTAATTTGGGCGCGGCGTTTCATGACCGCGCCATTGTCTGTTACAGTAACGCAAAAAAATGGCGTGGTCGTGGGGGGGGGGGGGGAATCCTCTGGAGGTTTTTTTTTTTTTTTTAATAAAACCTCATTTCTGTTTCCCACAGATGGATCAAGCAACAGAAACCCACCACAGAGATGTCCCCGTCCTCTGTACTCCCAGGATTCCACAGAGGAGGAGGAGGAGGAGGATGACCCAATCGAACAGGAAGACGATCATGTAGGTGGATCTGGGGGTCTTCTCAGGGAATACAGTAAGGTTAATGCTTTATGACGTGTCGAGAAAACTATTATAGTAAGTCATTCTGATATTGAAGTAGAGCTGTTCACTCTGCGTTACAGACTACTGACCTCTGAACCCTGTGTTACATACTCCTGACCTATGACCTTTACATTGCATACTTCTGACCTCTGAACCCTGTGTTACATACTCCTGACCCATGACCTCTGCATTGCATACTCCTGACCTCTGAACCCTGTGTTATATACTCCTGACCTATGACCTCTGCATTACATACACTGACCTATGAACTCCGCCTTATTTATGACCTCTGAACTCTTCATTGCATACAACTGACCTCTGCACTCTGCATTACTTGCTACTTACCTCTGTGTAACAGAACTACACACCTCTAGACTCTGAACCCTGTGTTACATACCAAAGCAAAGATCATCAAGACAGCGCTCTTCCTAAAAATATCTCTTATAATACAAACGTGCTGAAAAACAACTATAAAAAAAACTTCTCATAAAAGTGTGGGAAATTGTGCAAAACTACAATGTGTGGAAAGCTATTCAAAAACATAGCCTTTTAATAATCAATATATCTTGGAGTGATTAACATCAACAAAAATATTAATAACAAGGGTGTGGGAAAGTGTTCAAAAGAAAAAAAGAAATCAATAAATTTGTGAAACAAACGTAAAACCGATGGAGAGAAATGTATTAAACCCAAACGAATTGTTTCACAAATTTATAGTTTTTTTTTTTCTTTTGAACACTTTCCCGCACCCTTGTTATTAATATTTTTTTTAAATATTTTTGTTGATGTTAATCACTCCAAGATATATTGATTATTAATAAGCTATGATTTTGAATAGTTTTCCACAGGTAGTTTCGGACACTTTCCCACATTTTTAATTTTTTTTTTTTTATAGTTGTTTTTTCTGCACTATTGTATTATAAGAGATATTTTTTGGGCAAAAAAGCGCTGTCTTGATATTCTTTGCTTTGGTTGGTTGCCCTGTTTTGGGTTGATAGCGGCTCTCCATTAACATATTCCGTACTTTTTTTTTTGCAGTTCCAGAGGCACTGTTCCTATCTTTTATTCACCCAGTGTTACCTATGCCTGACCTATGACCTCTGTGACTTACTAATGAACCCCTGAACCTAAGCTTTACATACGCCCGACCTCTATGGTCTGCATTCCATACTACTGACCTCTGAAGTCTGCGTTCAATACTACTGACCTCTGGTCTTCTGATCTCTGAAGTCCGCGTTCCATACTACTGACTTCTGGCCTCTGAAGTCTGTGTTCCATACTACTGACCTCTGAAGTCTGCGTCCCATACTACTGACCTCTGACCTTCTGACCTCTGAAGTCTGCGTTCCATACTACTGATCTCTGAAGTCTGCGTTCTATACTACTGACCTCTGGCCTCTGAAGTCTGCATTCCGTACTACTGACCTCTGAAGTCTGCGTTCCATACTACTGACCTCTGGCCTTCTGACCTCTGAAGTCTGTGTCCCATACTACTGACATCTGACCTTCTGACCTCTGAAGTCTGCGTTCCATACTACTGACCTCTGACCTTCTGACCTCTGAAGTCTGCGTTCCATACTACTGACCTCTGGCCTTCTGACCTCTGAAGTCTGTGTCCCATACTACTGACATCTGACCTTCTGACCTCTGAAGTCTGCGTTCCATACTACTGACCTCTGACCTTCTGACCTCTGAAGTCTGCGTTCCATACTACTGACCTCTGGCCTTCTGACCTCTGAAGTCTGTGTCCCATACTACTGACATCTGACCTTCCGACCTCTGAAGTCTGCGTTCCATACTACTGACCTCTGACCTTCTGACCTCTGAAGTCTGCGTTCCATACTACTGACCTCTGAAGTCTGCGTTCCATACTACTGACCTCTGAAGTCTGCGTTCCATACTACTGAGCTCTGCATGTTAATCAATGGTTTGCATTCAGCCAGCACAATGGACCTCCTTGTTGTTTCCCTCAGGGTGACAACGTCATCAGCATTAAAGTTGAAGATGAAGGAGACCCATCTGTGAGGGGCGGTGAGCCATGCAAGGAGGAGGACAGTCCTCCCGAAATCAGCACAGGTGAGTCATAGACAACACGAGGTCTCCACCTTCCCTCAGCCATGGTCTGTAATCCAAGTCTCGTAGGTTTCACTCGTGAGTCTCTACTTATTTCCCATGACCACCAGCGCCATCTAACGTCCACGATGCGGTATTATCCCGATGATGGTATTTCATGAAAATACTACGGTATGGCCACTAGATGGAAATAATTAGAAAAAAAAAATGGCCGTTGTGAGGAATAGGAGACGTTCGCACAGCATATTTTTTTTTTCTAGAAATATACCCGTAAGTTCAGAAAGGGACACGGGTTCTCCTTGTTCAGTCTTCCTCTCAGTAGACGGTCATGGACGTCGTATTCGCCTTGTTTCCTGCAGGTGGATCCAGTAACGGAAATACCCCAGAAAGATCTCCCCGTCCCCTGAATTCCAGGGATTCCCCACAGGAAGATCAGGAGGTCCTTCACCATGATCAGGTAAGGTGGAACTGAGGACCTCACCAGATGGTTTGTAGGGACGTATGGTATGGATTCCCAGGATTCTACGCCTCATGGCTGTCAGGTAGACATAGTCAGGATTGATTCCCGGGATTCTACGCCCCGTGGCTGTCAGGTAGACATAGTCAGGATTGATTCCTGGGATTTTACACCCCATGGCTGTCAGGTAGACATAGTCAGGATTGATTCCCGGGATTCTGCGCCCTGTGGATATCAGGTAGACATAGTCAGGATTGATTCCCGGGACTCTACGCCCCGTGGAAGTCAGGTAGACATAGTCAGGATTGATTCCCGGGACTCTGCGCCCCGTGGATGTCAGGTAGACATAGTCAGGATTGATTCCCGGGACTCTACGCCCCGTGGATGTCAGGTAGACATAGTCAGGATTGATTCCCGGGATTCTACGCCCCATGGATATCAGGTAGACAAGGTCAGGATTGATTCCTGGGATTCTACTCCCCATGGATGTCAGGTAGACATGGTCAGGATTGATTCCCGGGATTCTACGCCCCATGGATGTCAGGTAGACATGGTCAGGATTGATTCCCGGGATTCTACGCCCCATGGATGTCAGGTAGACATGGTCAGGATTGATTCCCGGGATTCTACGCCCCATGGCTGTCAGGTAGACATGGTCAGGATTGATTCCCGGGATTCTACGCCCCATGGCTGTCAGGTAGACATGGTCAGGATTGATTCCCGGGATTCTACGACCCATGGCTGTCAGGTAGACATGGTCAGGATTGATTCCCGGGATTCTACGCCCCACAGATGTCAGGTAGACATAGGATTGATTCCCGGGATTCTACGCCCCATGGCTGTCAGGTAGACATAGTCAAGATTGATTCCCGGGATTCTACGCCCCATGGCTGTCAGGCAGACATAGTCAGGATTGATTCCCGGGATTCTACGCCCCATGGCTGTCAGGTAGATATAGTCAGGATTGATTCCCGGGATTTCGCCCCATGGCTGTCAGGGACATAGTCAGGATTGATTCCCGGGACTCTGCGCCCCATGGCTGTCAGGTAGACATAGTCAGGATTGATTCCCGGGATTCTTCGCCCCATGGCTGTCAGGTAGACATAGTCAGGATTGATTCCCGGGATTCTTCACCCCATGGCTGTCAGGTAGACATAGTCAGGATTGATTCCGGGATTCTACGCCCCGTGGCTGTCAGGTAGACATAGTCAGGATTGATTCCCGGGATTCTACGCCCCGTGGCTGTCAGGTAGCAGGACATACACCCCACGAATGTCAGGTAGACATAGTCAGGGTTAATTCCCGGGATTGTACGCCCCATGGATGTCAGGTAGACATAGTCAGGATTGATAGGCTCATGAAGCCCATCTCAGTATTCCAAACTACCCGTTCTGAATGGAGGTCTTGCTTCATCAAACTTTCTCTTGTGCTTCCTTCAGGCTGAAAACCCGGACAGAGTGAGAGTTGTCATTGTGCCGCATGCAGAGGATGGAGACGAGGACATGAAGGGCATTCGGACAGAGGTCAGCCCGGGTCAGTAAGGAGACCTTTTTCTCTTCTTTAGCTTTGGGATTCGGGGTGGGTAGGGTCCAGTCCTGTGCTATCCATGACCTCAACGGGGAGGTCCCTTCTGGTTCACGTACTGAATATTCAATGTATAATGCTCCACCCCTTCTCGGTATTTAGCCCGGCCTTTGAGACAACCTTTTTCAACCCGGAAGAACCCTTACAAAAATTCTCAGGTGACCCCCCCGAGTTAGTTCATCAGGGGTCATTGGGGAAATGCTCCTTACAGTGGTGGTAAGTAGGAAGAACGCCTCCTTACAGGGGTCACCATAATGACACCGTTGCAGTCATAACCACTGGCTGTACCAAGTGGTGTTGGGCCTGGAACTATGGAGGCACCATCACATGGGAGGACAGATAGGCACAGCTCAGGGGACCTCTAGCTACCTCTGGGGGAACCCCTAGGGCTCCACGGAACCCTGGTTGAGCATGGCTGATTTTAGCCTGTCACCTCAAACCCCCAAAAATGTTCAATGTCTTATGGTAGGCCCTAGGTACATCTCCAGGTACAGTCAGGTCCATAAATATTGGGACATCGACACAATTCTAACATTTTTGGCTCTATATACCACCACAATGGATTTGAAATGAAATGAACAAGATGTGCTTTAATTGCAGACTGTCAGCGTTAATTTGAGGGTATTTACATCCAAATCAGGTGAACGGTGTAGGAATTACAACAGTTTGCATATGTGCCTCCCACTTGTTAAGGGACCAAAAGTAATGGGACAATTGGCTTCCCAGCTGTTCCATGGCCAGGTGTGTGTTATTCCCTCATTGAAATATATATAGTAAAGCAGGCACTCCTTAAATATTAAAGTAATAAGATAAGCAGCTAAAGCACTAGAGGAAATCACAACCACCTCACGTCCTTCAAATAATAAATATAAAGTGCAGCGCTAAAGTAGAAGAACATCAAACAAATAGTTCGTTCAGAAATGTTTGTTGTAATATGTCAATTCATATATGGTAACAATCAGGTACTAACACAGCTGTAGGTAATCCAGAAGAGCTCGTGAAGGAAAATGACAGAAATGCGCACTCACCGACTGCGCATAGGAAATGCGCATTATTATATCAAGATCAGCAGGTGCCGTTTCCCTCAAGGAGAGGTGTCATCAAGTGATGGTCGACTGGATTCAGAGGACCTCCTTAAGATCAGGATAAACCATCTGGATAAAGGCTCCCTCCTCTAGATACTGTATGCAGTGAAGGCTGTGTATGCTGATCAATCTCCACTCCGCCCCCGGCACCTCCACGATCCTGATCTTAAGGAGGTCCTCTGAGTCCAGTCGACCATCACGACCATCACATGGCGTGGGCATGTATGGCTGCCAATGGAACTGGTTCTCTTGTATTTATTGATGATGTGACTGCTGACAAAAGCAGCAGGATGAATTCTGAGGTGTTTCGGGGAATATTATCTGCTCATATTCAGCCAAATGCTTTAGAACTCATTGGATGCCGCTTCACAGTGCAGATGGACAATGACCCAAAGCATACAGCAAAAGCAACCAAAGAGTTTTTTAAGGGAAAGAAGTGGAATGTTATGCAATGGCCAAGTCAATCACCTGACCTGAATCCGATTGAGCATGCATTTCACTTGCTGAAGACAAAACTGAAGGGAAAATGCCCCAAGAACAAGCAGGAACTGAAGACAGTTGCAGTAGAGGCCTGGCAGAGCATCACCAGGGATGAAACTCAGCGTCTGGTGATGTCTATGTGTTCCAGACTTCAGGTTGTAATTGACTGCAAAGGATTTGCAACCAAGTATTAAAAAGTGAAAGTTTGATTTATGATTATTATTCTGTCACATTACTTTTGGCCCCTTAACAAGTGGGAGGCACATATGCAAACTTTTGTAATTCCTACACCGTTCACCTGATTTGGATGTAAACACCCTCAAATTAAAGCTGACAGTCTGCAGTTAAAGCACATCTTGTTAGTTTCATTTCAAATCCATTGTGGTGGTGTATAGAGCCAAAAATGTTAGAACTGTGTCGATGTCCCAATATTTATGGACCTGACTGTACATAGTCTCTTAACAATGGTTCCTGAAATCCTTGGTGCCCAACCTATGGAGGCACCATCACATGGGAGGTCAGATAGGCACAGCTCAGGGAACCTCTTGCTACCTCTGTTGGAACCCCTAGGGCTCCACGGAACCCTGGTTGAGCATGGCTGATTTTAACCTATGGCACCTCAAACCCCCAAAAATGTTCAATGTCTTATGGTAGGCTCTAGGTACATCTCCAGGTACATAGCCTCATAACAATGGGTCCTGAAATCCTTGGTGCCCAACCTATGGAGGCACCTTCACATGGGAGGTCAGATAGGCACAGCTCAGGGAACCTCTAGCTACCTCTGGTGGAACCCCTAGGACTCCACGGAACCCTGGTTGAGCATGGCTGATTTTAGCCTATGGCTCCTCAAACCCCCAAAAATGTTCAATGTCTTATGGTAGGCCCTAGGTACATCTCCAGGTACATAGCCTCATAACAATGGGTCCTGAAGTCCTTGGTGCCCAACCCATGGAGGCACCATCACATGGGAGATCAGATAGGCACAGCTCAGGGAACCTCTAGCTACCTCTGTTGGAACCCTAGGGTTCCACGGAACCCTGGTTGAGCATGGCTGATTTTAGCCTATGGCACCTCAAACCCCCAAAAATGTTCAATGTCTTATGATAGGCCCTAGGTACATCTTCAGGTACATAGCCTCACAACAATGGGTCTTGAAATCCTTGGTGCCCAACCTGCGGCCCTTTGGAACTAAAGATGGGTGTACATGGCCAAACGTTTGGTGGAATCATTTCAGTTGTGGCAGGCGGTAACCAGCTGCTGGCTAATTTAATACCCTTTTGGCCTTTATTATTTTTATTAGGTGGCAAGGAGGTGATGAGAACCCCCTAAATGCCAGACTACAGTGTGCACCATGGCCTTCTTCACTAGAACGGGTCCTGTTTTGGCAGCTCCGGACCCCCCCCCCCCGCCGTTGCCTTTCCAGCTAGGGGGAGCAGTTGAGGGAACGTAAAAACTCAACTCAACTCATAAATGAGTCCTTAGAAATCAATTGTTAAAAAAAATTTGCTCAGCCATTGCGAAAAAAATCCCTGTAATGTGTGCATTATGTGGGAAATTTAGTTTTCTGTTTATTTCATATGACTGGCAGCCCCATCTACTGGCCATATTATGGTATTTTTCTCGCAATGCCGCAATCGAGATAATACCGCAATACGGCCACTAGATGGTGCTGATGATCGTAGGAAAAAAAAATAGAAAATGACATTTTCGACGAGTTACAGGGGTTATTTGCGACTGCTGAAAAAATTCACATGGCAGATTTTTATTTTATAAACGGTCACCTACGTGTGGATGGGAGAATCAACTGATTTTTTTTTTTGTGGGCTGAACAAACAAAATTTGAGCGTTTTTTGTGTGGCCCTCAGGGCCCCTGCTGAGAGAGGTCTGTTTTTTTCCTAGATACTTACTTGAGCCAGTGAAAGAAAACATTCTTTAGATTGCCATCAAGTAGAAAAATGGATTGATTGATTTCTTTCATGCTGTCTTACTTTTTCTGTGCTGTTGATCCTTTTTCTATTTTTTTGTAAATACTACTACTGTACTCTGCTTCACTTGTTGGTACAAAATTCCGCTTCAGCTACTGAGCTCCGTAAACTGGTCTGATTTTTTTTTCTTTCTGCAACAAAGCAGATAGGGAAAGTCTAGAAAACATAATAAGGAACAGATGGCTCCATCTGCTGTTTGAAATGAGAACCTCTTATACCTCTTATAAAAATTTGATAAATTATATAAAAACAGCTACGTTTTCCCTTCCGGTACAAATGAAAGGACATTTCTAAACTATAACAGCAGCATAACATAAATCATTCTTAATTTGGAGAAGCCACAATCCTTTGTTGAAAAAGAGAGGCTTTCAATTTATGGGGCCCTCCTGGATCTCCCAAGAGTTGGAGCAAATGGAAAGTTTGAGTCTCCTCAGCATTTCTCTTCTACTCCTTTTGTTTGACATAATGTAGAGCAATACAGAAACAGATCATCCACCTGCTGCTGTCTTTCACCCTAAAGCCTTGCTGTAAGGTTACAGTGTACAGTCCAAGCAATCACTGTGGAAGAGGGAACTGAGGAAATGTCTTCCTCTTGCCTGCAACAGACCATTCTTTTTCCTCCCAGCCTGGGCACAGTTGATTTCCTGTTGCTGTAAACTGAGGGATTGATTTATTCAGACTTGAGCCCAACAGTGACTGGTCCTCCATCTATAGGCAACACAACGGGTATGGAAAGACAATGGGTTATTGGTGACAAGAGCATTGTTCGTTGATCGTGTTCCTCTGGTTCCTCTCCAGATAACGAAGGGAAGAATGGTTTTCCTCTACCTGAAACCACAGGATCCCATCGCTCCAGGACATCACCCACGTGGTCATCCAATGAGTTGGTCTCCTTGGAAGGGAAAATCTATGTTTGCTACGAATGCGGCAAGTGCATCGTCTATGAGACTGACCTCCAGCAGGAGGAGGCAGGCACGAGCTCACCCCTGTGCTGCGACTGTGACAAAGCCACTCCATTCAAGCCCTTCCTCTGCGTCAAGTGTGGCAAGTCGTTCTCCAGCAAGATGGTGTTCATGGCCCACCAGAGTGTTCACACCGGCGGGCAGTCCTTCCCATGCGGTGAGTGTGGATTGACCTTCTCCAACAAGTCCATCCTGGAGACTCACCAGAGCATTCACACTGGGGACCCCGGCCCTTCTCCTGCTTGGAGTGCGGAAAGTGCTTCGCCATGAAGGCCAACCTGGTGAAACATCTGAAGGTCCACAAGGGGGAGAAGCCTTTTCCCTGCCAAGAATGCGGCAAACGTTTCGGCATGAAGTCCAACTTGGTGAAGCATCAGCGAGTTCACACTGGGGAGAAACCCTTTGAGTGCGCCCATTGCGGGAAGACCTTTGGCATGAAGTCCAACCTAGTTAAGCACCAGCGCATTCACACAGGTGAAAAACCCTTCAAGTGCCTTGAGTGTGGCAAGTGCTTTGCCAGCCGATCTAACCTGACCACGCATGAGAAAATTCACACAGGAGAAAAGCCTTTTGCCTGTTCCTTTTGCGGTAAGGGGTTTATCACCAGCTCCGACCTATCGCGGCACCAGAAGATCCATACTGGCGAACGGCCCTTCATGTGCTCTGACTGTGGCAAGACTTTCATTAGCAAGTCCATTCTTACGGCCCACCAAAAATCTCACACAGGAGACAAGCCTGCCCTTGCTTTCAACATTGTTCCCAAGCGTTTGGACAGCTGCTAGGAAGCGTTCATGGGTGACTTTTCGATGTTAAGCACTAGCATGTTGCTTTTCCTGTAGCATTGATCTGATCTTTCATAGAGTTGTGATCGGTCAATGTTTCAACTGAGAAAGATTATCCATCTGTGGGTGGAAAGGGACAAAGGGGGCTGAGATGACCAGGTTACTCAACCAAGGCTGTAGATGACTAACTAATAGGTCGTTTACATCAGGAAGTAATTCTTCCCACTACATCATCACAATCATTCTAGCCTTGACTTTGACCTCATTCGTAAGAGCTTGGATGCCTGTAAAGGAACAGAGGCACCATGCTAGGTGATCAGAACATGCCCCATCACCACAAACTTGGTCCACATCCCCAAGCTACAGCTTGGTGAAGAACCTTTAAGGAAGAAAAAAAAATCGCTGGGCTGAGCCTGACCTGCCCACCCATCTCCATGATGTTTCAGAGAGGCCCACTTGATGTCACTGAAGTCCAAGTGTTGTGCCTTCTCCTAGTAACAGCATAGACCCATCTGCAGTTATGAACTTTAAAATGTTTGCCCAAAAAAACAGTAAGTAGTAAGATGAAGAAGATCACATCGGCCAGTGCTAACCAGGTCCACCCCAAGGCTGCAGCTAAACATCATGGTATCAAATGTAATTTCCAGGTTTGAAAAAAACATGAGGAACCTCAAGAAACACATGAAGGAGAGTAGGGGGAATGGCAGGAGAACCCTTACGCTGTAGTAGAGCTTTGAATGCAAATGATTACCATGAATCGAGAAGTTGGCTGGGTGTGTTACTTACATCTGTTGAGGTTGCGGACTACCGTCAGGGATTGGTATGTTGTATATGCAACCTTAGCTCAATACTTGAAGCTAATGTCTGTCATCACATGAGTTTCTGGTGGTTGGTCTCATCACTTCAAGGTGTCCAATCCTCTGTCTGCTTAGGGAATGCTAAGGTCGAAGGTGCTTGGGTGAGATTTTAAAAAAACTCAAGGTTATGGTGTTAGTAGGGTGACTGCCAATGGGCGAGGTATGCTGAAGGTATGAAAGGTTCTGAATGAAGATCCTTCCTCATTCAACCGTTTATTAAACACCAATATATTATAATATGCTCTAAATGTACTAAACAGGACCTACATTCTAAGCCAGCCTTTCTCATCCTTTTTTACCCCAGAGGAACCCTTGAAATAACTTTCAGGTCTCATGGAAACTCTGCTAAAATCTTTTGGACATCAGTGGACAAATGCCCCTTTCATTATTGGCCAGTGAGAAGAATGTCCCTTACGGTTGTGGTCAGGGTGCCACCCTTGTGGGCAGCGAAAACATAAATTGGTGTCACATAGCTGGCTCTGCCAAGTGGCATTGGCCTCAGAACTATGTAGGAACCATCAAATGGAAGGGTCAGTTTGTCACAGCTCAAGGAACCCCTAGCAACCTCTGGAGGAACCCAAGAACCCTGGTTGAGAATGGTTGACTCAGGAGGCAAGGTAAACATTTTGGGAATTTTCAATTGAGCCAACTGACCTACCAGCTAGAGGTGAGCTTGGGCATCCTCTGAATTCCAGGTTTTTGGTAGTCCAGTGAGCTGTGGGCCAGGTCATGTGAACTGTGGTGTGGGGAATGTCCCAACCTGCAGCACATTGGAGCAGAAAAAAGTCCGGTATTCAGGTTAGTGATGAGTTTGGAGGACACCCAAGCTCATCTCCACTACCCACCATGTCTTAGAACAAGCCGATCTCATGGGACAGAAACATTTAATATGGGGTGGCGGTTTAGGGTTGTTAAGACAGCCTTTTTCAACCATTTCGTCCCAGAAGAACCCTTGAAATAATTTTCAGGTCTCGGGAATCCTCCAATGAGCTGCTGGCTGGGTCACGTGAGCTGTGGGGTGGGGAATGGTGTCCCAACTTGCAGCTCATTGGAGCACAAAAATTTTCAGGTCTTGGGAATCCTTTCCACAGAACCCTGGTGGGGATTGCTGGCTTAGGAGGTAAGGCAGCCATCTTCGGCTTACTAAGTTGGGCCAATTGACCTACCAGCTAGAGATAAGCTCGGGTATCCTCCGAACTACGGCTTTTTTGGACTCCAATGAGATGCTGGCTCGGTCACATGAGCTGTGGGGTGGAAGAACACAGAACCTTGGTTGAGAAAGGTCTAAAATAGCCAATCAGTTCCTGTAACCACCTATCTTTCTCATCTATGGGTACCTCTGCTAACACCACCACCACCTTGTGTTTTTTTTAACCAATCAGTTTGAAAACCACACGCTATCGGGGTCTACCGTATGTACAGAAAAAATTTGCTTTGCGCATAGGTCAATCATTTGCACGTGCGCCACTAAACTTCACCATCCTTCGCATAATACGTTTCAGGTTTTTATTTCCTAGGATCTCCATCTCCATCTAGTGGCAAAAATGCAAATTTTTTCTTTTTTGAAATACCTCAGGAGAAATCCTGCATGATCGCCAAGATGGCACTAACGACCCTAGGAAATAAATGCGCAGAGTAATTTTTAATACCTAGACCCCCCATAAGTGCGAAAGGGGGAGGGGATGCAGCAGAATATTTGCCCGTATGCGAAGTATTGTACCCATGATGCATCTGTTATGTAAGAGGGTTGTGCTCATGTCCTTATCTGTACAAAAATCATTTTATATTAAAAATTTATTCTTTCTGCGCTTAAAATCCACAATATTTATTTATTTCAGGTACTTATATAGCACCAGCAATTTACATATTTATTGTACATTCACATCAGTCCCCGCCCCCCGAGGAGAGTACAGTCTAAGGTCCCTAATCCTCAAGGGGCGTACAGTCTAAGGTCCCTAACTCACATACACATACTAGGGCCAATTTAGGCAGGAGGCAATTCACCTACCAGCATGTCTTTGATGTGTGAGGAGGAAACTGGAGTACAAGGAGGAAACCCACGCAGGCACAGGGAGAACATGCCAACTCCAGGCAGGTGGTGCCATGGTTGGGATTTGAACCAACAACCCTAGTACTGCCAGGCGGGATTGCTAACCATTTAGCCACTGTGCTGCCTATTGATATCAGTGTCAGTTAGTGTACCTCCCAGCCAGTATCTGTTAGTGCCGGATTGCCTACCACACTATTACAGTCTCACTAGAAGTCGCTGACCACCGTCGTTACCAGGCACAGGGAGAACATGCCAGCTCCAGGCAGGTGGTGCCGTGGTTGGGATTTGAACCAATGACCCTAGTATTGTCAGGCGGAAGTGCAAACCATTTAACCGTCGTGCTACCGATAAAGTAATGCGGATGGCTGTGCGTTGTTTCATAGCGCCCTGTGTTTTAGGGCCGGATCACACCATAGAAAAGCAATTCAGATGCATTTCTGCACGTGCGTTTTTGATGCGTTCCGGTTCATTTTTTTCAATTTAACCCCTAAACGCCGAACGTACGCAAATATTATGGCCTCTCGGCGGTTGGGCCTTGATGCCGAGCGGCCGTATATTTGAAAATACATACGTGCTGAGAGCGCGCGCCCAGCACGTATGTCCGTGGCTCACATAAACGTCCCAATCTCCTCTTGCGATCGGGACCTTTTGCCAAATGCCCCCGTACATCAAATACAAGATAAAAAGCTCAAAAACTGCATGTATCAGTTTTGGTGTACCTGCACGGGTGTAGCAAGATGGCGGCTGCCATTCCACGCCGGTGCTGACGTCACGTTTTCGACCTACGTGTTGCGTCACGAATCACGTGACTTCCTCGGGGTATCAGGGTGACTCGCGGAAAGGTCTTACGCGCTGCATCAGGGTGACTTGCGGAAAGGCCCTACATGTTGGCTCACGAATCACGTGACTTCCTCAGGGTATCAGGGTACTCATGGAAAAGTCCTACGCGCTGCGTCAGGGTGACTCGCAGAAAGGTCCTAGTCGTTGTATCACGAATCACGTGACTTCCTCAGGTATCAGGGTGACTCACGGAAAGGTCCTACATGTTGCGTCAGGGTGACTCGCGGAAAGGTCTCACGTGTTGCCTCACGAATCACGTGACTTCCTCAGGGTATCAGGGTGACTCACGGAATGGTCCTATGCGTTGCGTCAGGGTGACCCATGGAAAGGTCCTATGCGTTGTATCACGAATCACGTGACTTTCTCAGGGTATCAGGGTGACTCATGGAAAGGTCCCGATCTCCTCTTGCGATCAGGACCTTTTGCCAAATGCCCCTGTACATCAAATACAAGATAAAAAGCTCAAACACCGCATGTATCAGTTTGGGTGTACTTGCACGGGTGTAGAAAGATGGTGGCTGCCGTTCCACTCCAGTGCTGACATCACCACGTTTCTGAGCTACATGTTGCGTCACGAATCACGTGACTTCCTCAGGAAATCAGGGTGTGACTCACGGAAAGGTCTTACGCGTTGCGTCAGGGTAACTCGCAGAAAGGCCCTACGTGTTGGCTCACAAATCACATGACTTCCTCAGGGTGTCAGGGTGACTCACGGAAAGGTCCTACGCATTTCATCAGGGTGACTCGTGGAAAGGTCCTACGTGTTGCCTCACGAATCACGTGACTTCCTCAGGGTATCAGGGTGACTCACAGAATGGTCCTACGCGTTGCGTCAGGGTGACCCATGGAGAGGTCCTACGCGTTGTATCCCGAATCACGTGACTTCCTCAGGGTGACTCACGGAAAGAACCAGCAAACACAAATGCTCCTGCGCTTGGGGATGGACTCGATGCAGGCTACAACCACATTAAGAATGTCCTGGAACATGCACACCTTGCTGCCCTCAAATGGACCGGGGAAATCCAAATATATTGAATGAGGAAAGACAAAACAGAGGGCGCACAGGCCTAGTGCATTACCATAAAAAATGTTTAATAAAAAATAAAGTAGGTGTTGTACTCACAAACGACAATATAGTCAAGGTACATCATAAAGAACAGCTGGGTCAACACCGCGCTGAGTAACAGTCCGCAATAGGGAGTTTAGACATCCAAAAGGCTGACGCGTTTCGAGGACTTGCCTCTTCCTCAGAGCCACAGTGTCAGGAATGGACTTGCCAGTAATGGTGGGACTAAACATTTTTTTATGGTAATGCACTAGGCCTGTGCGCCCTCTGTTTTGACTCTCGGAAAGGTCCCGATCTCCACTTGCGATCGGGACCTTTTGCCAAATGTCTATGTACATCAAATACAAGATAAAAAGCTCAAAAACCACATGTATCACGAATCACGTGACTTCCTCAGGATATCAGGGTGACTCACGGAAAGGTCCTACACGTTGTATCACAAATCATGTGACTTCCTCTGGGTATCAAGGTGACTCACAGAAAGGTCCTACGTGTTGTATCATGAATCACATGACTTCCTCGGGGTATCAGGGTGACTCACGTAAAGGTCCTACGTGTTGCATCAGGGTGACTCATGGAAAGGTCCTATGCGTTGTATCACGAGTCAAGCGACTTCCTCAGGGTTTCAGGGTGACTCACAGAAAGCTCATACGCGTTGCATCAGGGTAACTCACGGAAAGGTCCTACACGTTGTATCATGACTCATGTGACTTCCTCAGGGTATCAGGGTGACTCACGGATAGGTCCCGATCTCCTCTTGCGATCAAGACCTTTTGCCAAATGCCCATGTACATCAAATACAAGATAAAAAGCTCAAAAACTGCATGTATCAGTTTGGGTGTACTTGTTTGGGTGTAGCAAGATGGCGGCTGTCGTTCCACGCCAGTACTGATGTCACCACGTTTCCCACCTACGCGTTGCGTCACAAATCACGTGACTTCCTCAGGGTATCACGTTCTTGTGGGTTATTTTTAACCTCTTTCACCTTTTCATAGCTTGTTTTATCTGTCTTAGCGCAGCGAATCACGACGGTCACATGACCCTAAAATCCCCGCCCCCCCCCCCTCCCGGCTTCTGAAACACTTAAAGGGCCGGGAGGTGCCGATGCAAAGGGGTTTAAACAGGGACAGTGAGTTTTTGTTGCATTTTAGGTGCATTTCAGTGAACGAAAACAGCGTCCCTATCAATAAATGACACTAGCAAAGTAAACAGAGTTTCTGCCTGGGGTCTCTTGTAACTGACACGTTTTGTCCACAGGGCTGGGCTTATTTATAGAGGTGAGGGGGAGCAGGTGAGGTGTGCCTAGGCATTTTTTGATGCCCCCACCCCCACCCCATCGCAGTCTGAGAAAATTTCAAACACTGGTAATTATATTTATGTACAACGACATGAACAGAGAATCCCCCGTTTGGACCTTCCTCTGCTGTGTTTCACCCACAAGGAACAGGTAAGAAGAGACATCTATACACAGAGGATTCATGGGCGTGTCTGAGACTTTTTTTTTTCCTAATGACGTCTTACTCCATCTCCCTTCCATCGGGGAAGAGTTACCTTGACAGACCCTCCCACAACCCACCAAACAAGAAGTGGAAATGTTCAATGTCTCTGGTGGACTCCCTGCTTGGCGGGTTGTGGGTGGTTTGCCGTGGCAGCAGGGAGACTGTGCCGTCTTTTGAATGTTAATGCTGATCCCATGGGCACTCCAGATCTCACCCCTGCGGATCCATTATGAGGGGTTCCCACCATCCCTGCTCTGAGTTACCGGGCCTGCACACCTGTGCGTATTATGAGGGGTTACCACCATCCCTGCACTGCGTTTCCAGGACTTCACACCTGCTGTGCCCATAATGAGGGGTTCCCACCATCCCTGTGCTGAGTTCCCGGGTCTGTACACCCACTGTGCCCATTATAAGGGGTTACCACCATCCCCGTGCCGAGTTCCCGGGTCTGTACACCCGCTTTACCCATTTTGAGGGGCTCCCACCATCCCTGTGTTGAGTTTCTGGTTCTGTACACCCGCTGTGCACATTATGAGGGGTTCCCACCATCCCTGTGCTGATTTCCTGGATCTGTACACGTGCTGTGCCCATAATGAGGGGTTCCCACCATCCCTGTGCTGAGTTCCCGGGTCTGTACACCTGCTTTGCTCATTATGAGGGGTTACAAACAGAGATCCTCCTGCGCAAAAAGGGAAAGAAACCCTACTGAAAACTGCCAGCACTTAGCCTGCTACCCAAACAGTGTAGTGATTAATAAAATTATATGTAGTGCAGCACTCAAATATAAAACAAATACTACAATAATTGTGCTCACATGCAATAGTGTCACAAAATAAATCTAACACAAATCATTAGGTGAGATATCTTCGTTCACAAGTGCCACTCAGTGTTATTCATCCCTTCGTGCCCACATACTATGGCAATTATAAATAAATATAAATAAACTGTCATAAGAAAAAATAATGAAACATAATTCTCACAGTGTTGCCACCTCTACTGGTCAAAAATATGACATTAAGGATTTTATTACCTGTAGGACAGAGGGGGTGGTGTACTGCTTAGAGTGTGACTGTGGACTCCAGTACATAGGCCGAACAAAAAGGCCATTATGGAAGAGACTGAGGGAGCATGTCCAAAATATTAGAAAAGGGTTCCCAAAACATAATGTCTCTAGACACTTTGCCATATACCACAATAAAGACCCCATTAAGATGAAATTCTGGGGGGTTGAAAAATTTAAGAAACACTGAAGGGGTAGCAATAAAGTTATATCTTTGAGTCAGACTGAGTCCAGGTGTATTTATTATATGCAAACGCAGGTTCCTAAGGGGTTAAATATTGAGTTTGATCTAAACTGTTTCATTAGTGATTTTTAACTATCTGTGATCATTATATTTATGGATATTGATGTTTATGTTATTTATAGAATCAGATGTTGTATTTATTAGGTATACAGTGATCTTTGTAAATGTGCGGGTGAATTGCAGGTAATAGAGTGATTTTTTTAATAGGGATTCCGTAAGCGGTATTCCGATTTTTAATTATTAATTTTTATTAGGTTTTATTAAAGGTTGTTTTAGTAAAAAATTAATTTCTTTATTGATATAAATAATAAAATATTTTTAATATTTTTAATAGTGTATAATATTTTTAAATAAATATCTTTTAATTAAATAATATGAGTATCAGTTAGGATTATTATAGCGTTTTGGGGGCTTTAGTGTATGTCCATTATGAGGTATTGGAATATGGATTCCTGTAGTATATGTATTATTGAGCTTATAATTAGCGTTTTTTAATTTTATTTAATAAAATAAACTGTGAATGAAAGGGTCTGGCTGTTAATGTTAGGGATGGATAGAATGCAGGGCGTCTGTATTATCCCTTGGACTGCAAGATGTGTCTTCATTTTTTACATGGAGATGTGCTTCAGGAAAATGGCCGCTCCGTGACAGTGAGTAGGGGGCGGGCCGTGAATTAGCAGCAAGAGGAGGTCCTTTACTTAAGGGAGGAACGACGTGTCTAGGGTAATGCCCAGAGGAAGTCACGAGTGACAGTGACGTAACGCGTAGGCACGTTAGCACGTACACTTCCTGTACGCGGTGATGCACTTCCGGCGCCAGCCGCCATCTTGGTATACCCAGGAAGTCCTTCTGATTACATGCAGCACACCCGCATACTGGCCAGGGAAAAGTATGGATATATGTGAGTTGCTATGTTTATATGATTAGTACCATTAAAGTGTTTTGGCTTTAATACTACACTTAGAGGATTCTTTTTTGCTCACTGGGTTGGTGAGCAATTATTTCCTAGAGCAGGGGTCTGCAACCTTTAAGACATAAAGAGCCACTTGGACCCGTTTCCGAGAGGGAAAAAAAGACTGGGAGCCGCAAAACCATTGCAACATTTAAAACAAATCCGACACTGCATATATTGCAAAAAGCGCTCTGGTCATGAAGGGGGTTTAAGGGCCCAGTAAGCAAAGGGTTAATCAGGGCAACAGTGTATCGTCATAATCACAATCATAGCCTTAGGTCAGTGGTGGGCAACCTTTTTTTTTCAACTGAGCCAAATCTCGCCAAAACCACGATTGAAATTTATTTTGAGAGAAACATTTTTAAAACTGAAAATACATCCCCCATATAGTAATTCATCCCCCATAGTAATTAATCCCCCATAGTAATTCATCCCCCATATAGTAATTCATCCCCCATATAGTAATTCATCCCCCATAGTAATTAATCCCCCATATAGTAATTCATCCCCCATATAGTAATTCATCCCCCATATAGCAATTCATCCCCCATAGTAATTCATCCCCCATATAGTAATTCATCCCCCATATAGCAATTCATCCCCCATATAGTAATTCATCCCCCATATAGTAATTCATCCCCCATATAGTAATTCATCCCCCATAGTAATTCATCCCCCATATAGTAATTCATCCCCCATAGTAATTCATCCCCCCTATAGTAATTCATCCCCCATATAATAATTCATCCCCCATAGTAATTCATCCCCCATAGTAATTCATCCCCCATAGTAATTCATCCCCCATATAGTAATTCATCCCCCGTTTAGTAATTCATCCCCCGTATAGTAATTCATCCCCCGTATAGTAATTCATCCCCCATAGTAATTCATCCCCCATTATAGTAATTCATCCCCCCTATAGTAATTCATCCCCCATAGTAATTCATCCCCCATAGTAATTCATCCCCCCTATAGTAATTCATCCCCACTATAGTAATTCATCCCCCCTATAGTAATTCATCCCCCATATAGTAATTCATCCCCCATATAGTAATTCATCCCCCATATAGTAATTCATCCCCCCTATAGTAATTCATCCCCCATAGTAATTCATCTCCCATATAGTAATTCATCCCCCATAGTAATTCATCCCCCATATAGTAATTCATCCCCCATAGTAATTCATCCCCCATATAGTAATTCATCCCCCCTATAGTAATTCATCCCCCATATTGTGTCAATTCACTTACCTTTGCTCCGCGCGTTCCTCTCGCTGTGTTCCCGCGCCGTTCTGGTCTTCAGGGCGGACTGTGAGAGGAGAGGAGTTCGTCACGCTGCCCCGCCTACATCCTGACAGCCAATGTTTGCCAGAGGGCGCCCGGCACACAGAAGAGCTGCATTAAAAGAGCCACGGCTTGCCGACCCTATTGCCTGTCACCTGGTGGGCAGTGTGCTTCGGAGTCGCAGGAAAGGTGAAAAAGAGCCGCATGCGGCTCCGGAGCCACGGGTTGCCGACACCCGTCCTAGAGGCTTCCGATTTGGGGTAATGGATGTACCCTAAAGTGATCTGCAACGTCAGGAGAAGTGCCTGTTACCAGGGGATAAGGATCCTGAGTGATCCTGAAAGCTGTTTGGCCCTTAGGGGTCAGTTTAAGGAGGTGAGGAGGCAATTTAGCCTTAGGAGGTGAAGAGTGGCACGGTTGTGGAACAAGATCACATTTGTTTGCACATTTTTTTTACACATTGCATGAACTTTACCGGTTTATATGGACATTCTAATTTTTTTGGGACTTGTTTGATTAATATATTAAGTGTGGTCACACATTATATTTGGAGCACTGTGAGAATTATGTTTCATTATTTTTTCTTATGACAGTTTATTTATATTTATTTATAATTGCCATAGTATGTGGGCACGAAGGGATGAATAACACTGAGTGGCACTTGTGAACGAAGATATCTCACCTAATGATTTGTGTTAGATTTATTTTGTGACACTATTGCATGTGAGCACAATTATTGTAGTATTTGTTTTATATTTGAGCGCTGCACTACATTATGAGGGGTTACCACCATCCCTGTGCCGAGTTCCCAGGTCTGTACACCCGCTGTGCCCATTATGAGGGGTTCCCACAATTCCTGTGCTGAGTTCCTGTATCTGTACCCCTGCTGTGCCCATTATGAGGGGTTCCACAATCCCTGTGCCGAGTTCCTGGGTCCGTACACCCGCTGTGCCGTTAGGGGTTCCCACCATCCCTGTGCTGAGTTGCCGGGTCTGTACACACCAGCTGTGCCCATTATGAAGGGTTCCCACCATCCCTGTGCTGAGAAAGGTTGAAATCCAAAGCTCTCTGCCCATTGGACAGGGAGCTGTGACATCATAAGACTGCCCTTGGCCACCAACAGGTATTGACAGTGGCCATTGGGACAATGTAAAGCTTTGAATTGGTAAGGGACTCCATCATGGGGCCCCACCCCTCAAAATGGAGATATGGGTGGGGTGCTCCCATTAATTGTTTGAGAGAAAAGAGGAGAATGAGGAGAGGGAAGGAAGGAAGAGAAAGGTGGGAGAGAGGGAGAAAAAAAAAAAGGTAGGGAGGGGGGGGGCACCATTTCTCCAACTGACTCCAGCAATGGGGCACCATTTCTCCAACTGACACCAGCAATGGGGCACCATTTCTCCAACTGACACCAGCAATGGGGCACCATTTCTCCAACTGACACCAGCAATGGGGCACCATTTCTCCAACTGACACCAGCAATGGGGCACCATTTCTCCAACTGACACCAGCAATGGGGCACCATTTCTCCAACTGACACCAGCAATGGGGCACCATTTCTCCAACTGACACCAGCAATGGGGCACCATTTCTCCAACTGACACCAGCAATGGGGCACCATTTCTCCAACTGACTCCAGCAATGGGGCACCATTTCTCCAACTGACACCAGCAATGGGGCAAGATTTCTCCAACTGACACCAGCAATGGGGCACCATTTTTGCAACTATCGCCAGCAATGGGGCACCATTTCTCCAACTGACTCAAACAATGGGGCACCATTTCTCCAACTGACTCCAGCAATGGGCCACCATTTCTTCCAATTGACTCCAGCAATGGGGCACCATTTCTCCAATGACTCCAGCAATGGGGCACCATTTCTCCAACTGAACACAACAATGGGACACCATTTCTCCAACTTACTCCAGCAATGG